TATCTCGCCAATTTTTATGCTTAGAGGCAGTTTTATCGATGACTTCTTGGTTGTCGAGCGCTCTGGGACATATTTCGAGTCAAGTGAGGTACATGTGGTAAGTGGAATTCATTTTTATCAAAGTTAATGTTAGTTAATTGTTCATTCCCGAAAAGAGAAGCGAACACGACCAAATCTATGATTTCTCTCCTTCCTCGATAGAAGAAAGGCTTGTTCTCCTAAAAAGCCTTCGAGTCTGTGCATTATCGGTGGGAAAAGCATCGGCTCTAGCTTTTCCGATTTATTTTATTTTTCGTAAACTCGATGTACATAAGCTTGCATTTCCACATAACTCTTATATTGTACAAATGTTTCACCAAAAATGATTTGCCATGAAAACTTGGATGCCTAAGTAAAAARTATAGCTATAAAGAAACGATATTGRTTGATAATTATCGCCAGCAGTCCCTGTTCTAATCTTTCTAACCAACTCACTATCCTCTAGAAAACAGACGCCATTATATTCGTCCACCCCAGACTCTGAAATTATGATAGTCAAAAAATGAAAGAAAAACACACACACACACAAAACAAAACAACGTGAAACCAAGAAGGTTTCTTTTCCTCTTTTACCCACGGCTATTTCACGACAATTGTCGTGTATACTCCCTTTATTCTAAAGTAAGTCTAAATTAACGAGAGTAACTAATATGAAAGCTTTTCAATTATTGGACTAAGAAAATTCCGGCCTGAAAGCAATGGCCGTTAAATTTCAATTCTTTTCCTTGGGTCAGCCCTCAGATCCAAGCGTTTTTTAAATACTATTTCTTAGGTATTCTAGGAAAAAAATATTTATTCTGATCACTTTTATTGCTCGCAAGCGTTGGTGCATGTTCTTCGTTTAGACAAACAAAAGTCTCGTCTCGTTCGTCTTCCCACAGTTTGCTTATCGAAATGGCGGGTTTTGGATTTTCAGTGTATTGGAGGATCTTGGTCCCAGATAACCTTTGTTCATGAAATTTGAATTATTTGCTATAAATATCACTTGGTCTGTGTTTCTTGGTGTATGTCTATTGTTTAGGAACTCGTCTAGTGTCAAAATGAGCCAGTTTTTTGCCTTTTTGTCCAAGCTAGTCATGACTGATTTGTCTCGCATGAATTTCTTTCAACGCGACGCCAATGAATTCGAATGGACTAACTCGCTTCTTGATTTTGTGCAGAAAGTAACTATTTATATCGTTCAACACAGAGGCCAAACCTATAACACTAGTAGGATAACTGTTAGGGAACCTTTTGGGGATTTCGTTTCATTTTTGACATGCATGGATCGCTAGGAATTGCCTTAGGAGATACTATTCAYTCAACGCATTTTATAATCATTCAAATCTGATTCATCACCGGCAGCATCTTACTCAAAACGCCTTATTTTTAACATCGATAAATTCATCGCAAAGTGGCTCTACGACTGAAATCATGCGTTGAGAGCTTTTAAGTATATCCATAGCAGCAATGAAGAAACAGAAGAAAGAACTCGAGAAGGCCATAGGCATTGGTCACGTGATWATTTTTTCTGTCCAATGACAGCAAGAGGAGCATAATTTTTAGGAATAAGTCAAGCATTTCTGACGCACACGGCTCAAGTGCTAGGCTCAAAGATACAAAACACGAGGATTTT